ATTCATATTATGAACAACTTATGGTTAAAAGCTGTTTCTGAGAAATAACCAAAAAAGCATTTTTGTATAAATTCACAATTTTTGCCGTCACTTAATTAGCGATGAATTTTTAATAAAAAATTTTCATCGATAGCATAGAGAGACATCTCTCTTATGTAATGGATATGAGTTTGATTGAATTTGATGAGCAGTTATGTTGCAATGCCCTTTAAAGTGTTACCCGTCCGTAACCCTAACAGTATCCTTAATTTAGTTACCATTAAATACTAGCTACACATACAATAATGTCAATATTCCTTCGCAATACACCGGTTGTGTCGACGACGACGCGTCGACGCCGCAATCTAAAATGATCGATGATTAATCGATCATCGGTCGTTTTGTAAAATCATAATCATGAAATTTGGACCGATCTCCAACACTAGCGATCACAGTCGGCGACCGCTAATTTCGATCGTAAGCGGTCGTACAACTCAGAGAACTCATGTCGAGTTTAGTCGCCGATGTTTTTATCGGCGATCTGGTCTGTTTTGGTTGTACGATCTTCAAATTTTGTCAACGACCAGATCGTAAGGGCGACCTGAGTGTGGCTTAACGTAAGTCGTAACTACCTAGGCTAACAATGTGAATGTCGAATAACCACCTAAAAAATATTCGTATTAATACAATTTACAAAGCCAAAACAGGACGTCAACGAGGTACGAAGGAGTAATAGATCAACACACAGGCACTTCAAGCGTTTCAATAAAATATAATGCTAACTAAATACAAAATCTATTTACTACCAAATTCTTAATGTTTCTATACTCTCTTTCACCTATTATTGCCGACAGTTTCCTGTCAATTCCGTCCAAATCCTACGTGCAACCATACATACGCTGCCGGCGCCATTGCTCTCGCGGCTCCACTGTTGCACGCTTACACTAATTCGTAACGAAATCAAGTCTGCAAAGTGATTTCGTTACGAAATCAAGTCTACATAGTGATTTCGTTACGAAATGAAGTACTGCGAGTGATTTCGTGACGAAATCAGCTACTGCGAGTAAAGACTAACACTAATAACTTATTAACACTAATAAATTAAATTAAATTAAAAAAATAATATATTTTTAAATTAAATTGTTGTAAATAAATCATGTAAATATTTGCGTTAATTGCCAAATTGGGGAAAAAAAAACTCCTGACTTTCTCCAGGAGCGAGATAAAGCATGACCGCAATTCCTCATCAACAATATTTTGATCGGTTCCGATTTCCTAAATTCCCGCAGTCCACATCCTAGACTGGTACTCGCTCCCACCTTGATTACTCGATGGTAACTAGGCTCATCGAGTAACTAAGCCGAAAGGTGGGACCGGGTACCAGTCTAGCCACATCCATGCACGCCCGCCCGCGAATGTATGCATATTTTTTCATTTTTCTATCTTTATCCATTTAACTATTTTTCCCGCAATAAGTTACGCAATATAATAAATAATAATAAGGCAATATTTACATGATTTATTTGTAGACTGATTTCGTAAACAAAAATCACTTTGTAGACTTGATCTTTATAATGAAAT